GTGAGGGTTGAAAAAGGAAGTGCAGCAGAAAAGTCCAGTATGAAACGAGTATTGCCAACTATAGGTTGCTCCTCTTATGCCTTAACTCTCTTGGCCTATTACCCAACAACACTTCAACTCTTTGTAAATGTGGATATTGCCTGTAGAATGTTGCTCTTTGTCTAAAGATTGCACCTGATGCATTTGATTTTAAATCAATCTAACTCATCTTTTTAAAGTAATGTTCTGGAATAATATTTTTTAAACTGTTTTTGATATTTAATAGAAAAAATCAGTACTCCCACTTTTGAAAAAAATCTCTAAGCTTCAAACACTGATCCTGCTTAATCACGTATCTCTGACTCTAACATTGTACAATATTCAGCATACCTTTAATGTCATTGTTTTATCATCTCTGTTTTTATTGGTCTTTTCACTTTACTGAATTGTTCAGACATTGACAGTGACAATGCGACAACTCTTAACATCCTTTTGAGTCTTTCTATTAAATTTTATTCCATTTATTTTGCACTGAGCTGCATCTCCATTTTGCAAAATAAGCATTACTTTTCAGTATTAAGTATCCTCTCCTATCGCCAGATAATTTCAATAATCCAGTCTACTTGCAAATGCTTTGTTGCAACCTCTCTTTTTCTGATGCTAACTTACTGCTGTCTGTTAACTTGACTGGCTTGAACTTCAGATGTACAAGTTAGTTATATTTGGGAAGTATATTTAAAATGTCCCATTGTGTTTTTCACTGAAGCTTTATCAGATAAAAAATGTGATGGGCCATAGAGATATTAGGACAGGGCGCAAAACACTCAGTCAAAGAGTTATCTATTTCAGGAGCATCTTAAAAGGAGGAGAAGTGGGCACAGATTTAGGAAGGATATTCCAGAGATTGAGGCCTCGGTAGTTGAATGCCTGGTTGTCAATCATTAATGCATTGGAATTTGGAGACTCAAAATTAGATTCATCAATGGTGCTGTTGAGATGCACTGATCTCACCAATCTTGATGTTGAAATAAAAACAAAGTCTGTAGAAACTCAGCAGGTCTGGAAGTATCTGAGGAAGGAGAAACCGAGTGTGTTTTGAATTGAGAGGTGAAAGGGCTTTATATTGTACGAAAAAGTGAGGAGGAGCAAATGGAACTAGAGGGAAAGTCAGGTTAAGGTTATGGGGTGAGATTAGAGACCGTGGTGTCACAAAACTAAAGGAAATGGTAATGGTGAGAAGAGAAAACTAGAATAGATGTTAGTAGCAGAATATAGGTCAGCTGTACTGAAAACAAAAATATGAAAAGTAAACTGAAAGCAAGACCAAAAAATGGAGGATAGAACTCATGGTCTGAAGTTGTTGAAATGCAAAATTAGATGGTGTTCCTCCAGCTTGCATTGAGCTTCATTAGAACAATACAGCAGATATAAGACAGAAATTTAAGTAACAGAGCAGGATTGTGAATTAACATGGCAAGAGCCAGGAAGGTCGGGGTCCTGCTGGACTGAGTAGAGGTGTTCCTCAGAGTGATCGCATTTGACGAAGTGTGGCGTTGAGGAGCCATTCAGAAGTTGAAGAAATTGACTGGAGGTCATACTAATGACAGAGCAAAGATTGTTGTGAAGTCCAATCATCTTTGCTCCAGGATATGTCTATACTGGTTTATCAGGGCATTGACCAAAGCCCACTCTGTTACACTTAATTACTCTTTCCTGATAGTTGAAAGAGATGGCCACAAGAAAGTAAGTGTCTTATTCTCTGCTCTGCATATTATCACGCTGTTTGGGAGATTTAATGGATTAAGTGTGCAAAGTTGAAATGTCATAATAGTGTAGCCCACTCTGCTACATGTCTTCAGTAGCTACGCCAATGACTTTGTGTCCACAGGGTGAGAGATGGGGGATGTTTAATGATTTCCATTTGCAGCTTGTCAGATAATGAAGCAGACAGTGCTGCATGCACCAAGCCATTAACAGCATTCAGGCTTGGGCTGATAAGTGGCAAGTGATATTTATGCTAGGCAACTACTTTCTCCAATGAGAGTTTCTTGTTTTCCCTATGACATTCAGTGGCATTGGCATTGCTTAATACCTAACATCAATTCCCCAAGGGCTACAATTGACGAGATACCTAACAGAAATGCCCACATAAATTTTGTAGCTACAGGAACAGGTCAGACACTGAGCCAGTATGTGGTGCTTATGTGATGTACAAACCACGCCCATAACCCTCAAATCCCGAAGGCTTTCCACTACCTACCAGGTGTAAGAGAGTACACTGGAGTATTCTGCTATCCTTTATACGAGTACCGTTCTAACAACACCGATGAAACTCAGTGTCATTCAGGGAAAGGTAGCCCATTTGATCAGTACCCTATCCATCATTTTAAATATTTACTTCAAAGTAGCTAGAAGTATGGGGAAGGGCGGTTCAATTGAGGCATGGAAAAGAGAATCAGGTGATTATTTAGATGGAAACAATGCATAGAAAAAGGCAAAGGCAAGAGTACTAAATATAAGTGCTGAGAGAGCCAGTGCAGGCACAATGGGCTGAATGGCCTCTTGCATTGTAATAACTCTGTGAGGAAGAATTGTTTCAGTTGTCCTCTGAGGGGTTATTTCCCATTCATCAGAATTCATTCTACCATGACTTAGTGATTAAAATTATACAGTCATTTTGAATAAACTTTGTTTGTATTCTCTTGAGTGTGGATTGTGGTTGGGTGATCTAATATTTTATGGTTTAACTATAATTGAACTAATTTTGTGAACCATTTGGGTCTTTCTCTCAGAATGATACTTATGGTGCATAAGGAGATAGTGCCAGACAATGTCAATGACTGAGCTGTGAAAATGTAATCCATGACTTCCTCCTATCTGTGACATGGGTTGATGAGTAGTCGAGCTGCTCAGACCACAAAGACCTAAGTTCAGTCACTATTCTCCGCTGAGCTGATTTTGGCTGAGATATTCACATTTGACCTAAGTAACTCTAATGTTTGAAATTTTGATTAGGGTACTCATTTCCACTTAACTATTAGTGACTCTGGCTGAAGGTGCCTGTATTGCTGATATGACAGTGGTCGACTATGATGTCCCTGCAGTTTGATACACCTTGTTCATTCTCATGCATTAATTATACATTCCTGGCTGTGATAGTTGCCAATTGCTCTACAAAACTGTGGACCCATACTCCCATCCGAACTCTGTATATATTCATGCAGTGATCGGTGACTGAAAAATCCATCTTTTTGCTGGGAAATTTATAGCTAAAACAGATTTGTAAAAGTATTTAGCATCCTTTGACCACCACATTTGTGTACCTGACCTTCAGTTATAGAGGCAAATGTCTTAGCACTTGTCAGTGCTGAATTTAGGCCCTTCTAAGAGTCCAATTCTTCACAGCTGCATTTTTCTTCCTTGGACTTGAAGTAGGACTTGGTATTTAATGCACTTTAAGATGTTAATGGTAGCATTGTTTTCAAAACAAAATAAAAAATGTTTTTCTTTTGTAGATTAATGAAGAGATTTCAGTTAAGCATCTTCCACCAACTGAGCCTGATCCTCACGTGGTCCGTGTTGGTTGGTCACTTGACTCATGCAGTACTCAACTAGGTAAGAAAATTTGTCTCCACTTTTTTGAGATATGTTTACACTAATGTATTATGTTGAATTTGGAGATAACAAGAACTGCAGATGCAGGAGTCAGTGTCAATACAGTGTGGAGCTGGAGGAACACAGCATGTCAGGCAGCATCAGAGGAGCAGGAAAGTTGATGTTTTGAGTCGGGACCCTTCTTCAGGACTAATGAAGGGTCCCAACCCGAAAGGTTAACTTTCCTGCTTCCCTGATGCTGTCTGACCTGCTGTGTTCCTTCAGCTCCACACTATTCCGAAGTTGAGGGGGTTGGCTTATGAGGAGAGACTGAGTAGATTGGGATTATATTCATTGGAATTCAGAAGATTGAGGGGGGATCTTATAGAAACATATAAAATTATGAAGGGAACAGATAAGGTAGAAGTAGAGAGGATGTTTCCACTGGCAGGTGAAACTAGGACAAGAGAGCATAGGCTCAAGATTAGAGGGAGCAGATTTAGGACTGAATCGAGAAGGAACTTCTTCACCCAGCGGGTTGTTAATCTGTGGAATTCCTTGCCCAGTGGAGTAGTTGACGCTGCTTCAGTAAATGTTTTTAAAGATAAGGTAGATATTTTTTTGAACAATAAAGGAATTAAGGGATACGATGAGAACGCGGGTAAGTGGATCTGAGTCCACGAAAAGATCAGCCATGATCTTATTGAATGGCAGAGCAGGCTCGAAGGGCCGGACGGCCTAGCTCTAATGTTGGATTTGGATCCTAGCTACCATTGTAATGTGTACCTTTCAACATTTATGGATGGTATGATTAGATAATGTGGTTTGTCAAGAGTTTTGTATTGGCTAGTTATACAGTTTCATTGAGTCTTACAGAAAGGAACTGAAACTGATTTGAACTGTAAATGTGTAGTAGTTTACAGTTTGGACCATGATTTGCATTCATGGTTGTTCAAAAAAACTTTCTACAAAGAATTTTTTTGTAATTATATTTGAGGCAACAAATTTTCAGCTTGCAAATGGTTACCCATGCTCAGCGATATTAAAATATGCCAATATCTGTCATTTTTTAAAAACAAAGTTTCAAGAACTTGGCCTGACTTCTTTGAGTTGGAGTCGGTTGGAATCATGTTAATTTTTTGGAAGAAAGACTTTCTTTGAGGAGGCAGGAGTAACTATTTTGGAGAAGATCACTTATTGCAGTGGGGGAAAAATATCCTTTGTAATCTCTTGAATGTTGTTTTTCTTGAATCTTTTCTCAATTGTTTTTTATTCAAAAGCTTTTAACAAACCCTCTGAATCAAAGATGGAATCCATGTTTATTTTAGTTGCTTAAACTTCCCAATGAGATTGGTGTGTTGCTAGTTTGGCACAGTTTTCATTTTGTAAAGCTGAAGAAAAGTGATTTTTGGAACCTAATGAGAAGACTGGGATTGAGCGACAGAGATAGAACTTCTTTGTTGTGAGATTGTGTTCCAAGGACTTAAGTGTCTTTCTTAAATAAAATGTAATATGCCAGTCGAAGAAGTACTGTTCTGTACTTCAATCTGCTCACCATTTGAGGCCTCAGCTGTGTAAAACTTTCTAATGCAGTGAGCATTTTTACTGAATTCTTCAGTAGCATCACTGTTGGCAGCTGCTGAAAGAGTTCACATTTGAGTTACTTGACCAATCAGGCTGGACCTGCTGCCCGGGTTTATACACAGGACATGAATCTGCCCATACGTTAGGTATTCGTAGCCCTGTGAGATTGTGCCCCAAGCGCTTATGTGAGTTCTGCCCTCTTGCACTGCTCCTTCCTTTCCAGCTTTCCATTCACTTGGGTCATAGTTATCTAAACATTAAATACAACTTCTTGAAAGTGTGCTGTGAATTCTTGTGGCTGCAGTGATTGCCTGGTGAAGTTGGTGATTGCACTATGATGACTAGATAAGTCACCTTTTTGTCAGGAGCATTATGGGGACTGTGTTGATAAACTGATTTATTTAAGAACTGAAAGGCAGGATTGCCAATTTGTGCTGTATTTTGTGACTTGTTGATAACTGTATTAGTCTTGTTTAACCCGTCTTGCTTCAGAACTCATGCTTGTGAAGCAGTTAAGCAGAACAATATTTGTGTATAGTTGACCCACTCACCTTTGGCTTTCGGTTCGAAGTGAATATGTGGGAATGCTAGGTGCCTACTGCCTTCAAGGTTGCACAATTCTTCTGATCATTACTGATACAGGTAGTTCTGTTATAACGTATGTTTTGTAAATGTGAATTGGCTGTAATGCAATGGATGAATAGTGGATGCTGTTTGGATAACGCAAACTTTCTGCTGTACAGGTATAGCGATTTTCCACAGCGATTTCCCTATAATGTGATTTTCTATGGTGATTTTCAATGGCGCGTTTTTTATAGAGCAAGGTCACACAAGAACGCAACTATTGCGTTATAGGAGAACTACCTGTAATGTTTTCCGTTCACAGTCATGGCAATCGATTTAAAAATTTATAAATGCTAGAAAGTCCGCCTCAGTAATTCCCAGAGTGTCACTTAAAATTTAGTTTGTTCATTTGTAGCATTTTGCTAAGATATTTATAGAAATTTGATTTAAGTGAACTGGCAGCACCATATGTGCTATGAAAAGCAATAGAAATACTGACTTACATTTGACTGGATGAAAAAGAGCTTGATTGATTTATTAGATGTATTTATCTAATACTGATTCAGTAAATTGATATCTTATTGAACACATTATATTTTCCTGCTCATGCCTTTTCTGTAGATGGATCTTGCCAGTAATGCATTTCAAGCATCATTATTATTTGTTCCACTGAAGAACTTAGATCACGTTCACTCTTCTGTACCAGGACTTGTAATGGAAATGTTAGTTGGCACCTTGCGTGTTTTTCATACATTAATATCCATATGTCAAATCAAGCAACAAAAGACTTTCAGTGATTTGCAAATAAAAGTTTTCACCTTTCCCATATTAGAAACCAACACCCCACTGAGCTGGAGCTACATAGGACATAGAACAGTACAGCACCATGCTATGATACATCTCTGGGTCAGGTGGGATTTGAACCCAGACCTACTTGTCCAGCAGTAAACTCTATCTCTGCACCGTAAGGGCCCAAAACTCAGCTTTTAAGTAGATGTTTTTCATCAATCTGTTCAGACATGTTATGACCCATATCAAGGGCAAATGGGACTTGAAACTGGGTCTTTTGGCTCAGAGGCAGTGGCACTACCACTGTGCCACAAGAATCCAAAAGTCAGCTTCTAAATTGTGGGGATGTTTTCAAAATCAGTATGTTCAGAGATGTTCTTACACCCCTCTGGAGCATGTGGGATTTGAACCCAGGCCTCCTGGCTCAGAAGTAGGGACATTATTTGAGGCTTCTAGGCACCTCCATTTCTAACTCATGACAGTCTCACTTTTTAGGGCACCACCCACTTAATTAAAGTTTCACGGAATTGTTATAGCACCGTCAGAGGTCACTCAGCCCATTATGTCTCCAAAGGAGCAACTTACTACAATTCTCCTACCTTTTTGTTTTTCTGCAGATTCTTCCTTTCCAGATACTCATTTAATTCCCTCTTGAATGCCTCAATTGAGCATCCTTCCACCACATATTTCTGGTAGTACATTCAAGATCCTAACCACTTGCTGTGTGAAATAGAAATTTGAAAGGGTTCAGAACAGATTTACAAGGATGTTTCTGGGATTGGAGGGTATGAGCCACAGGGAGATGCTGATGGGCTGGGGCTTTTTCCCTGGAGTGTTGGTAGCTGAGAGGTGACCTTATAGAAGTTTATAAAACCCTGAGGAGCATGGATTGAGTTATTAGCCAAGGTCTTTTTCCCAGGGTAGGGGGAGTCCAAAATGAGAGGACTTAGCTTTAAGGTGAGAGAGGAAAGATTTAAAAGGGATCTCAGGGACAACCTTTTAATGCAGAGGGTGGTGCATACATGGAATGAGCTGCCAGAGGAAGTGATGGAGGTGGGTACGACATTTAAAAGGCATCTGGATGGGTACGTAAATAGGAAGGGTATAGAGAGATATGGGCCAAGTGCTGGCAAATGGGACTAGATTAGTTTAGGATATCTGGTTGGCATGGACAAGTTGGACTGAAGGGTCTGTTTCTGTGATGTATAGCTATGACTATGGCTTCACATCTCCATTGCTTCTTTGCCTATTACCTTTAGATCTTTGCCCTCTTATTATCAATTCTTCCACCAAAAGGAACAATTTTTACCTGTACCATCTCCAGATCCCTCATAGTTTTGAATAAACCTATCAAATCTCCTCAATCTGCTCTCAAAGGAATAACCTTCCAATTTCTCTAACCTGTCTGTCTGAAGTTCTGAGTGAATTCTTTCTGCGCTCTCTGATTCTTTCACATTGTTCCTTAAATGTGGTGCTGAGGACTAGATGTAGCATTCCAGTTGAAGTCGAACCAATGTTCTACATGAGGTTATCGCATCTTCCTTAATAAGAATAGCAAGGATCTTTTCCCTAAGGTTGTGGGGGTGGGGTTCAATACTAGGGGGGCATATTTTTAAGGTGAGAGGGTAAAATTTTAAAAAGGACGTGAGGGGTGACGTGTTTACACGGAGAGTGGTTCGTGTGTGGAGTGAACTGCCAGAGAAAGTGGTGGATGCAGGTACAGTTAAAACATTTAAAAGACCATTTGGATAAATACATGAATAGGAAAGATTTGGAGGGATATAGGCCAAACACAGGCAAATGGAATGAGTTTAGTTTGGGAACATGGTCGGTGTGGACTAGTTGGCCCGAAAGGTTTGTTTCCATGCTGTATGATTCTGACTGTTGTACTCTAAGCGCCTATTATTAAAATCTAGGATGTTATATGCTTTAAAAACTGTTCCCCGAACTTGTCCTATCATCTTCAATGATTTACTGCTCCTATACTCTCTTTAGAATTGTTCCCTTAATTTAATATTATCTCTGAATTGTTCCTACCGAATTGAATCACTTCACATTTCTCTGCGTCGAATTTCATCTGCCAC